GCATCGATTTTTGATGTGGGATGGTGCAGTCGTCAACCACATGCGACTATAATCAGCTGTTCTAAACTTCTTCATTGGAATTCACGTAAAAAGCGGTGGGCTTTTTCGAGAAGTTGTTGATCATGTAATTACCAGAGTTTTTCGTCTTTTTGTAAGTGTTATTGAAGCGTTTGGCCTAGTAGATTGTATATCAGTATACCCTTCCAGGCTCTGAAGAAGGCGATACTGCCGAAACGTCAGCTAGCATTGTATTGTATTGTGTTTTTATGGAAGTAAATGTATGCTGTTTAAAAACCTCGCGAGTGTGATCAGCTTTATCCCGATAACCATATCTCCGTAACTATAATGAATTGGAGAGCACAAGTCAGCATAATGTCGATTGGATAACACCCAACCCCCATAAAGGGCATTCACGGGTTCGAATCTGGCCTGAGATCTGGATTGTTGAAATATCTCAGCATCATTGCGGCAGTTATTTCATTACCAATTATAGACTGATAAATCTCAGGTAGTTCGCATCTACTCGCATCACTTTATCCGTTTTTCATCCAGCTGAAACTGATAATAAGATTTTCTTTGAAGAAAACTGAAGATATTGAATGTCGAAGTGGAGAAAAGAAAGCAAACATGTTTCCTATTTAGTTCTTTCTGAATGAAAAGAGAGCCAAAGCGGGAAATTGAAGAGTATGATTTAAAAGTGTAGGTTAAGAATTAGGTATCACTGAGGTAAATAGTCGGAAAGGTTTGAAACATCGGTATTTTTAAATAACAACCAGATTCTGCCTGAAGAAGTGGGAAAAATCGACACATAGTGATTCAATGTTTTGGACACTCCGATGCGGGATGGTCCGTTCTTTTTCTATTACTATTATCATATTTTCTTCGAAGCTTCTCTAAGTGTTTAGCACACAGGTTTTCACCTGAGTAACAGCCGCTCCTAATATTGATTTACCATTAGCTAGATTTCCTGTTAGAAATGCCAAACTGGAGCATAGTACGCATTCTCCACCTTTCCGGAGTTGGAAAGCTCTTAGCAGATATCTATGAGAAAAAACCTCAATCTATCTTACGAGACTGTCCGTGCTGAAAAGTTGGGAACATTCTACCACAGCTATTCCAGAAGAACCCCGAAGTGAATCTATTCAGCAGGCATTCAACGACATCTGAGAAGAAGAGCGAATTCCTCAAGTCTCAGCCGAACCTACATTGTAGATTTGAAGTTCTTAGTGGATGGTGAATACCAGGAAACGAAATAGATTAAAACAGTACTGGGACCCGCACATTACATCAAGGCGGGTCACACAAACGTAAACAAACTAAACAAATGTCGAACTTCTTCTAAGCATGGATAACTCTGCTGGACGGGAAGGAATGGATCCCATGAATTTCCTGCACTTCATCACATTTCGGAATTCAAGACCACAATGAAGACATAAAAAGTATTCAGAGAGAAATTCCTATCCTTATTGTTTGTATCCTTAGTGTTATCCCTATTGTTTTTGTATGAGTGCACCCTCCGTTTACATAACGGGTCGAAGAAATATCTGCAACTGAATGGCTATTACAAATTCCGCATCGCATATGGGAACCTTCGAATGTCAGATTCGTAATAGCGACCAGACCAGATTAGAATGGGTCTCTTTCTCTGTCTAAAATATAGATATTTTTGCATACTTTGAAGTATTCAGCGACTACCGCATGAAATTTCTCTGAATTTTCTTTCGTGCTGAGAAACTTCCTTCTAGAAATCTGCTTGTTTCTATGAGTTCTAAACAGATTTCGTTCCGAATTAAATCCTTTCATCTTCACATTTCTCTTCTCAACGATTGTTCTTTTAGTTCCTTAGGAGCAAGAATTTTCTGCCACTGATACAAGTCTTATAATAACGTATTGAAACCTGTCTTTTTTTTTTTTACAAAGTCGTTGATTCAAACGAAAGACGGAGCCGTGGTGGATAAGTCTTCGGTGTATATACACACGAATTGAGTTCGATACCTGCCTAAGTCACGTAAGCTCATCATTATTTCTATGATCCATCGTACAACAATGATTGAATCCTCTATGGAATCGTCTTTTAGACGCCTAGATAGAGTGCTGTTAGTGTGATAATTCTATACTTCTACTAAAACACCTATTTTGTCATTATTAGCACTAAAAAGTTGAAGAATTGGCCATACAATTAAGTAGTGAACAAAAAGTAGAATTGACTCCATCAACCAGGATCTGTTACTTCTATCTCTATTTCCACTTCATCTTGGATACTTGGATAGATCGTCCTCACCGGTTGCACGGGCCCCAGCACCTTTTCCATTTTTCGGAGTTTTGCTGGTTTAGCTACTGTGTTTTCCTGGAGTCCCGAAATCAGTCTGCCCAAAGTCTGCCCAGGTCGTCACCACCACAGGCAATCGCCGCCCTTGTGGATGAGAGGGAAATTTGCTACTATGCGACTTGTTTGATACCAGGACGGTGGTGGATCCTGGTATCGGTTTACTCCTAGCTGGGGTTCCTGATGGAAACACCGGACTTCTTAAATTGGGACAACTTGCTGGGGATAAATCCCCTCTGTGCATCGCAGCCCTATACACCCCAGGAACACCTCCCAGCCACGATGATAAGGTAAACCATTGGGAGGTTTTCACTTACTTACTTTTCACTTTATCATAATTGGAAAATGAATGACGGGCCAAAATCACAGTTTCATGGTATTGGGAGAATATTACCATTCTACTACTGTATTATTGTTGTTGTTATCATCACTATAGCTCCTGTTTTATTATTGTTAACATTATTTTTCGTCATTCCTACTCTGGGCCGATCAAAGTAACCGTCAAGAGCGCGAATGGCATAGTCAAATAAAGGCCATTGTACACTTGTGTCAAACAAACGACCGGAAGACCGGTTTGAATTCGCCCCCTATCCTCACTATCGACTATACGTTAACCCTTACCAATTGTTTTGATGCCATTTTTAAGTTATAGAAAGTTGCTAAACTCTTCTGAAGTTGACAAAGCTCCTGCTTAGTTTTGGATACATCGATATTCCTCTTCATGGGGTTATTGTGCAGCTCTCAGAATTTCTTCCATTCGTTCCGTACTCTTGCAACCGTCATCCGTTGAGATGGTCATATTCGCTTCAGCAGCGGTTTAAGGATCTGGAATTCGATTCCAGTTGTAAGCACAGCTGGCTTACATTTAGAACACTAAAGAGGCCCCATTTTGGTGATTCTTCAAGATCTTGACAAGGTCGCTTAGAAACGTCAAATTTTGACATTCCACATCAAGGAAACTTCCAGAGAAGTTTTTGGGCGTATTGAACGCAATTCCGTCTCAGCATCCATTCTGTTCTCTTTTCCTTGTTTTTTCTCGATCGGAATATCATTACTGCCGTCTGACATGTTGCCCTCTGATGTCCATATATTATTGAAGTGAGGTCATTGTTATCGAAAATCGTCCTCCGTATGACGTAAACGGTCCTTTTGTCACATTATGAGAGTATTCAGTTGTACGATTACAAATCAGATTTTGGTGATTTACGGTTAGCCGGAAAATTTCAGTTCCACAAGCATTCGAAATGCACTTTTACATGGGTGACCTTGACATGAATTAAGCCTCAACTCCTCATTACGCATTTCGGCTTTCATGAATAATTCGAAACCCATTTAATACAGCGGTTAGAGGTTTCATACGATAAAAATAAGGTCACTGGATCGGTCCCGAGCTAATCAAGGTTCCCATCTCCCGGAGCTTAAGAAATTAGTTCTGGTTCTGCCTGGGAAGATAAAAGAAACACTGGCTTAATACCTCGACGAGCTGCCAGAATACATTGTATAGGTTAGCAGCGTATTCAGTTCCCTCGAATATGCTACAGATGAGGTCGAATGTTTGGGCATCAGTTTTATGCTAGCAGCAGATTAATGCCAAACTCTTCTCTAATTTGCCTTGACTTTTATTTAGTGTCTATTGTTTCCTGATGGCATGCTATTATGTGATAACATCTTTAAGATAAAAAACTAGCTGAGAGAAAAGCAAAGCAAGGGCTTTGGTTGGTGCAGTGCATAACACATAAGACCCCGGAGAAGTAACGTCGTGTACGAAGCGTAACTGAGGTTCTGAGTTTTGCTTATTAATCAACATCCTTTTCTTTTCCATGTGTGAGCGATTATCGGTGATTCGTGCTATATCTGGAAATAAGCACATTCATGAAGATCGTGATTTGTAAACAAGTCTCCGACTCAGTCGGCCGATTGACCAACCAGTGGACTGATCGACCGGTCGTCGTCGAAGCCGTTGTCGTCGTCGTCATTGACGCCGTCTCGTCGTCGTCGACGCAGTCGTCGTCTCCGTCATTGTCGTCGCTAAGCTCACAGTCGTCATCGCCTTCCACCTCATCGTCGTCGTCATTGTCCTCGCCGTCCTCGTCATCGTCGTCACCTTCTTTATCATTATCGTCGTCGTCTGCTTGGAAATTGTGTCGTCCTCGATTATTGATCCTTTCCAGTCGCATTCTCTCACAAGCACACGAAAACACACTTGAAAAACATGTCCGTCATCACACGGTCTCTTTTTCCAGTGTTATTGTCGTTCTTTTTACTACTTATCTTCTTGTATAATTCCTAAAGCAGATTTATCGCCCGTAACCGATGGCACTCATACAGTGCAAACAGTACCAGTTATGAAGCTCCATGTCTAATAAGGAAATGAAACGTATAAAACAGATTACGAGGATGAACCTACCATTATTTTCTATCGAGTAAAACCAGTTAGATCTCTGTGTCTGATTTTTCTTGCTTTTGTTGGATCTCCTAAAGTGTGCGACCATTTGGAAATGATCCAAAAGTGAAAATAAGAGGAAAAAAACCTGTCTTTATCTTCTTAAGAGGATTCATCGATTTTTAGGATACAGACTTCGTCGAAATCTATTTTGCTTACTTTCAGATACAAATGAAACTGTAGTAAGTATTCCACTATTTTACAAAAATAATCAATACAATGGAAATGTCAAAGATTTATCGCTTTTCGATAATTTGAGTAATCGATAGTTACCTAGGACGATCGATAGTAAGATCTTCACCTAAAAAGAATCGTAATTTATTTTTTTCCACCATTATTGAGCACTATTTTGTGTACACAACAGCCGAAATGTTTATATTCGGCTGATTGTAAACTGGAACACTAATCAATAACATAATCCTTTTGATGTACTGCAAAATCCTAAAGACCTAACAATCAAACAAGGGATATTTTTTAGCTCTTCCTTTTGTTCCTCAATATTCAGCCTTATAAGAATTTCTGTTGGCGTAAAAATTGGCTAAACAAGACTGAAAACTAAAATTCTTTCACTTCGTGTTTCGTTTTAAATCAGATGATGCGAACTTCACGAAAACACATCAGACTTTGTTTGAAGTAGAAACCATTTCACTAAATGCTTTCCGAACTCTCTGATCCTCTCGTCGTTTTTCCTTCCGTGGGCATCACTTTCTTTGTTTTCTTCTCTTTTTTTTTTAGTTCTGCAATGTAAAGAAGACACCAACGTGTCCAGTAAAACTACTGTTTTTCCTGCGTTTGACGACATTTGAACGATTCCCTTCTAAGATACTGAAAATCTTTTTATTTTTTTCATTTTATTTTATTTGATTCGTCTTCACGTCTACCGTGTGACTCCTAGCACTTCTCAAATTCGATTCGTTTCCTCGCATCCACTGTCCACGATGATCTTCCAGCTTTTCATGTGGCTTCGGTTGCTGCTTGAGGATTTTCATTTCATCTTGAATGTCGTAGAATGCTGGTCGTGGAATTCTCCTTGGAGCCCTGAGATAGCCGGGCTAAAGCGTTCTCAATTGGATTGCAGAGAGTGATTTTTTTCCAGAGAAGTCCGGTAGCAATTTCCCGACCCTGGAGGGATGAGAGGATTCGTTGGCCCTGAGCGGAATCGAACTAAAACCATGCTCGTGATGACGGACATCACTACCAATGTGCTATCCGCCCCTAGATACTGAAGTGGATTCATTGAAATTCGTTTGACAATCAACGTTATGAGTGCAAAAAAGCTCTATATGACATAAAATTTCAATTTCTGCTCTTTATAGGCCTTTCTTAGACATTTGATAAGTTGACGATCTGGCTACTGGCTAGTAGGTCCAATTTTCTTCAGGATTCATTAAAAATTGTTCAAAACTTTTTTCATATTAAAATAAGTTCGCAAAAAGAAAGATGTAGAGCGAGACAACTAAGTTCTGTAAAGTTGCCACTGGCTGAGAACAACGGCTCATTCAATAAATCCAATATAGATGCTAATGACGGTTTCAGAACGGCGATGGTTCATTAAGGGCTTCATTTTTTGCCACACTATTAAATTTACAAAAGGAATACGGCGAAGTATTCGTCGTCGCTCAATCCCTTAGCGATGCGCCATGCATTTAATTCCATTCGTAGCGTGGTAGAGGTGTTTGGGACCACCAACGACAGGGAGCCTGTAAACACTGCGCTGTTACACGTCTCTATAAATAAATAAATAAATAAATAAATAAATATAAATACATCGACGATGTCTTGAAAGTTTTCGCTTAGCGCTTATAGTCCAACTCCTAGATCCATGTGGTTCATAAGCTATCGATTCAATACAACAAATTGCAATCGAAGGTCTCTTTAAGGCAAAATGGACAACGTCAAAGTAAATGAACTAACGTCAATTCACGCCGGTCCAGTTGATCACTTATGGATGAGTAGAAATCCGTCCACATCGGACCCCTAATGTTAATGAGAAGTGTTGCTGGTGGAATTTGGCGTTTGTGATTAACTAATCAAGGTGATTCACAGTATTAACTTATTTCCATTAAAATTTTCTGTGGTAAAGTCTTTGTTTTCGATCACCGATCAGTACCATTACATAATTGTAAGCATAATCGATTATCTTATCACTATCAATTGCGTCATCGCCTATCGCACACAGATTAGAACAAAGCGAATACTCGCAACAGTTTTCGTCACTAAGCCAAAAGGAAAGACAGCATATCTCATAAATTTCTAACTTTTCAACACACTGATCCATTGAATCAATATTGTAGTAAGTTTGCAGTGAAATGTGTAGTTATCAGTTGCAAAGGATTGATTCGCCAGTTTTTGACCGAAAAATGACGTACCTGGGACATTCTAGACTCGTTTTCTGGTGGTTCTTATTCCTATGACCCAGAGTGGTTTTAACTATCACATCCATATAGATGACACAATCACTTCAAGCACCATTTGCTTACGACAAACTCGAGGTTCAAAGTGGAAACTTGAACTAGAACTTCGCGTTTTCAGAGAATTCCACCCATCATTCTGATGGTAACCCTGTCGACGGTAAGTGAATAATGACTGGTTAGGTGTTGTTGATTGTAGTTCATTGCTGTTTTCGATTCTCGATACGATACGTTTGATAAATCGTCTCCGTACCGCCGCTACGATATCCAATTTCCACGGTTTTTCGTCAGAAAGTTCCAAAACAACGTAGAGATGTTGTTCAAAATGTGTTTTCGATTAGCTCTCGTAATATTCTGGTGCTTCAGTAGAGAGCTTCGTAGGCTTCGAGTACGCAAATGATGGAATCGACTATCAGCATATGCTTGCACATCTGATGTCCTACTAGATGATGCTACGATTCCAACAACGTTTACTTACCTCTGACTAGAACCTCGACATTTTCGAGTAAACGCTTCCATTAGTGCTCTTTCACCTCCGATGACACCACTTTTATACGATTGCCTTACGAATACCGTTTTGTTTGTGTTTCAGTTCGCTTCTGAATACGATACTTTTCAATGAAACGTCTCGATAATGTTATTGCGGTCTTAATATCAATAGTCATTCGTCAGAAAGTTTGAAAACAACGCAGAGATTTTCTCTGACTACTGTACCAGTGGGGATAACAAACCCTCGCCAGCTTGATGTGCACAGGTGGTGGAGACGAACACCAATCTATTGTTTCATGAATCGCCTCAGTTTGGACTCCCGTGGGCGGCTAAGTGGAATGACATCTCCTCTCCTATCAATATGTAGATATTCACGACTGTCACGTTCGACGTCTACTCATGAATTTTCCAAACTTGCCTTACTACGAATGCTAGTCACGAATGTATTCGGTTTTTCATAATAAGTTTTTTTAAAGTTTTTTAATTGTGCTAACTTTTATTTGCTGCCTGATATAGCTCTTCACGGTAGGGTATTATGCGAAACACAACCACAATAGCGCTGAGATATTTGCAAAACTCCGGACCGCTGGTGTCTGCTGTGGGGAACGAACGCGCTATTACCCTTTCCGGGAGCTAACGCATTCACCACCACACCATGCGGTCCTTCGCTTTGCCTGTCTCTCAGCTAGTTCTATCGATCATTGCCATCATCAAGAACATTGTTGTAACTCTAATCTACTATTAAAAGTTATGCGCGAAATATCCAGCTGACCTACTAGAAGCTTTACCGCTTTCAGCATTAATCAAACAAGGATGTTGTTTTCTCGTCATACTGCCCGTGACCATGGTTCTACTAAAGGACAGCATCGTACCGCTCTCCATTTATCATCACGTCGTCGTGGATTTTTTGAATTCTTTTAGCTGTTCAGTACTTACAACGTTGGCGATCTGGAAAATCGGTAGTGTAGAACACATAATTTCTTCATACCGACATCATTTTTCGGTCTTTCTTCCTTTTTCCATTCCACGATGATCAAAATCCTTCTCCTATTCATCTCATTAGAAATATGTTTATAGTACTGAGCTGAATAACGCTGCGAGGAAAGCGGAAAAAATCGATAGCTGAAAATACGAAAATACCTCGCCAGAAACACCCACGTTGTCATCATCGGCGTCTAGGTTAGAAACATCACAATTTCCGTCCTAGATGTTTTTATTTCTGTTGTTTTGTTTGTCCTACGTCAATGATGTGACAACGCAAAACGAACGATTCACCACATCGCGAGACGACGGACGCAGAAGGCAGAGCAACGACGAGTCAAAACCGTATCAGGTACCTACTGCCGTCGTTCGATTCGACCCGCTTGCACCTACCATTCTGTCGCGCGCTACAAGCTTTACGTTCCATCGTTGTTTCGAAATGGATGACAGCTGGATCAGTAAAGAATCGTCATCATTCAGATTCCTCCACTTGGATCCCCCAGCAGGTTATTCACACTGTTTGAACCGTGTCTGTCCGTGCTTGTATTTTAGTGGTCAATCCAGTGCTTGTTTGTGTCCCAAGAAAAAAACTCCACAGCTGGTAGTTTAAAAGAATAAAGATGAGATCAATAAGTTTCTTTTATTAAACCTAACTGACATCACGTATTGCGCAGATTTTAGTATTTTTCGCATTCGGTTCATTTCATCGCGTCCACCATCCACGAAGGTTCTCGAAGATTTTGCGTGTAGGTTCGGCTGCTGCTTGAGGGCTTTTTCGTCTCCATCATAAGTGTCGTTGAATGCTAGTCCAGTATATGCTCTTTAGAATACTAAGGTGCTCGTGCTAGAGCGT